TTGCAGGCAATTTTCTGCACAAAACGGTCAATGTACAAGCTCCCAGCCACAAGGTCAAGAGTAAAAGCAAGATGGGAAAGCCAGGATCCCCTTATTTAGTTGAGCCAATATCCACCATCAAAGAGCCCACAATGACCAGTGTGTCTCCAACCAATTTATGACTACTGTTGCAAAAATACAACTGCTATGGCTTTTCTCAGCGCAGTACCTGAAAAATCATTACCTTCAAGGTTGACTGACCACTTACTCCTCTTTTGGAAGACCTAAACACAATAAACTTATCCTCAAACATTTTTAAGAACCAAATCTTTGGGGCACCTGGGTGGCTCAGTTGGTTAAGCCTCTGCCTCTGGCTCAGGTCATGATCCTGGAGTCCTGGGATTGAGTCCCACATCGGGCTCCCAGCTCAGCGGGGAGCCTGCTTCTCCCTCCGACCCTCTCCCCTCTCGTGCTGTTTCTCTCTCTCTCAAATAAATAAATGTCTTAAGAAAAAAAAAAAGAGAGAACCAAACCTTTGCCCCAAATGAGCCTCCTGAACCACAGAGTAAAGGTAAACACAACCATCTCATGGCTATGTGGTTGGTCCAATCTACTGTTTCACTTAACTCAGGTCTCAGGTCTGAGTTTGAACGCTTATGTATTTCTCTGATGGCTTTGGGCCTCCTGAGGGCAAGGAAAGGCCCACAGTCCAAGGACAACGTCATGACTCTTTCTTTACCCCACACCCCGGCGGCAGGCAGCCCAAGGCTCAGTCCACCCAGATATGAATGAGGATTCCTGACAGCTGCTACTCAGCATCGGGGCTGTCGCAGGGCGTGTCTCATCAGTTTTCCGGGGCGCGGGGCTGCTGAGTACCTTTCACGGCCTGATACCCTCCTGCAGCCACAGCCCCTTCCTGCACGAACTCAGAACACACTGGGGCTGGCACCCACTGCTTTCCTGCTGGGCTAGGGGAGGGGCTTCACAGGTCGTACCAGGCAGGGGGAGGCTAAGAGAACAGAGCTCTGCTTCATGGGGAGCAGCTCTTTCTAGAAATGTGTTTTTAGATTGGGTTTTTCAGGAAGATGGGGGATGCAAACTCATGCCAAGAAGGTCCAGGCAGGTGATGGAAATGGATGAACGGGACTGGATGCAAGACAGACAACAGCGTGATCACAATGAGACATGACACCTGCCACGTGGCCACTGTGTTGGGGAGGCAGGAGGGAGTGGTGAGGACCACGGAATACTGGGCAGTATGTGCTCTATTCAAGGGGGCCGCCGTGGCTCAGCCCCAAGCCAACTGCTACCTTCCAGGAAAGTGGGCCCACCTCTGTCAGATATGATTTTTCAACGTCAGCAAGAAATCAAACGTCTTACACAAAATCTCCTGATGCTCAAATGTTGGCAGTTAATTTAAAAAAAAATTTTTTTAATTCCTTAGGCCATGACTTGGGAAAAAAATACTCCCCTGCTTAAAAAAAAAAAAAAAAAAAAAAGTTTGCAAACCATCAAGCACAAACCCTCTGATTTAGGGTACAAAAATCTAGGCTCAGAGGCTACGTGGCCTGCCACGGTGGAGGCACAGTGAGAGGCACCCAGATCTGTCCCAGAGGGCCACGGGACCTCCACTCGCTCTTGCAAGGGAACAGGGACCCCAGGCACAGCTGTGGCAGGTGGGAGCGGGGTGGGGAGTGGTGAAGTGTGAGCATAACATAGGCCATCGGTACCTGCGGTCGCCTTGCTTGCCGGAGATCCCGAGTTTGGAGTGCGGAACGTCTGGGTTTGGGTGGCTGGAGGGGTGCGGTGTAAGAGGGTGGCGCATCGGACCACGGAGGCCGGAGCCTTTTTCCCCGACTGGTTCGTCTGGGTCTTCGCTGCCACGAAGCGTGGAGACGGGGAGACCTCCGGATGTGAACACTCAGAGCCCGTGTCTGGATCGTCCGGTGGCTCCCACCCGGGGGCAGTACCTGAGAGGGTCATGCTCTCAGTCCCCGTGGGCCCTCGGAGCAGGCCGAGTGAGTGGTCTCTTGGGCCACAGAACCCCATGCTCAAGGGTCAAAACCTCTTCTCGGTCCATAGCAAAGGCTCTCGCTCTCACTCAGAGCCTAAGAAAGTCCAGGATTCTAGAACCTTCCCCAGCTTCTCGAGGGAAGCCTGATTGTCAACTAACACTCAGTTTCCCAGAGGCCACTGGCCAGCTCACTGGGAGGATCACTCATAACCCTCAACCAACCCAGGCTCTCGGTGTCTAAGAATGCAGCCTATGACCTGTGCTTGGGGCACCTGAATTGTCAACCCAGGCCCAAGAGCATTTTCTAGAACACTGGCTCTGAAGCCTCTTTTCCTTCCAAGGCAGGCTGGCTCAGAAGTAATGACAGAAAGCAGACAGACAGGGATGTGCCAGGGTTGACTGGTGGCGGTGGGGAAAAGCAGAGGGGCTCCATGTAGCCCCGGGGTTTTAGAGGAAGGGGCACTGATGGACTTGTCACTCTTGGGGATAGCACTTAAGTCTACATGCTGCTTGCACCCAAATCAGTGCAGCAGTCCCCTGGTGGTGTCTGGGGAAGCCTGGGTCACCATTTCCCAGACCCTCTGCCTCCCTCCCGAGTCCTCTGCAGAAGCTGGAGTCGCTGAGAACTGGGGGCTGACCCCCAGGTGGTCTTCACCTCTGGCGGTCCCGGGCGGGCAGCAGTCCAGCTCCTTCATGCCGCCTGGGGCCCTAAACTACTAGGCCACACTCCCACATTCAACACAGAACAGGAGGGGGGCAGTGGTCTTCTGGCTCAATTGCAACCCTCCCCCCGAAGGCAAGAAGGGGACCAGGCAGCATGGGAAGGGGCCCCTTCGGTGCCGCTGCCCCCCTGCCTCTGGGGGTGGAAGAGGGGCCTCGTTATACCCCTGGCCCCAGGACAGTGTCTATCCTCAGCATCAGACACTCCACCCACTGCTTTCAGGGCCAAAAAATAAAAAGGCACTTCCTGACCCTCCACCTTGGGCCATTCCTGGCACCGGTGAAGAAGCCCAGGCCTAGAGAAGTGGGAAGCAGGGCTTCACCCAAGGTCACACAGGAGAACGCACTCTTCGGTGCTTTGTTCACCAGCCTGAGACACTGAGATGAGCTCAGAGGACTCGGCTGCCCTCCTGTCCTCTTGGACGGTACCCCCTCCTCCATTCACAGTGGTGGCCAGATGCCAGGAGCGAGGGCACACTCCGGTCACAGCCCCCTTAAGCAAGCCCTCACCCGCCCCACCCCAGCCCCAGGAGGAGTCCCCAAGGCCACCGTCTGCAGAGGATACAGGTGGTCCTCACTGTCTCAACTCCCATTCTCTGGATTCTGGCTTTCTTAATCAGAAACTAGAGAGGCTTGGGTGGGGAAGGACACATCCCTATGTTCCCTCCCTATCTCTTTCTCTCCCTTTTGGAGCCAAGGACCATGGAGGCCCCTGGGGGCCAATCAAAAGGGCAGCTTGTCTCACAATTTCCAAATGTTTTTAGCCACAGAACCTACACATCAAAGTCCATGGTATGTGTCCAGACTTCTGTCTCTGAGCTCCCCACTGCCTCCCTAAAGCACAGTTTGGGGACCAAGTGTGGAGCAAGATGAACCCACCTCTGAATGCCAGGTCCCTCCCCTTCGGTCTCTGTGGCCCTAGCCTCTTAACTTCGCTCTCTTAACCTTAGCTCCCCCCCACCCATGCCCCCTTTTATTCACCAAGAAAACTGGTGCGGACCAGCCTCTCATGGGGATTCTGTGAGAACCCAAGAACACACAAGATCCCAGGGTACACGGCTCTTCACATGTAAGCAGCTATTACTGGTACTTTTGACGGATAAGGAAACTGAGGCCCAGAACGTTCAGTCACTTTAAGGGCCACACGAAAGTCCATGTCAGTGGACTTGACCCACAGGAGTCAAGCTTGCCAGCTACCTGAGGGGCCCTCTGCACAAGGCCACGTGGTCTCCTTTGGCCTCAACCCACACATCCCAGGAACCTGGGCACAAGGGACAGAGAATTTCTGAGCAATACACTGAGCACGTGGCTTTCATTCTTAAGCCCCAGTCTCTACCCTGAAGAATGGTTTCTAGAAGACCCTCCGGATCAGTTCTTCTCAAGGTCTACAATTCCTGATGTCAAAATCCTGGCCCCCTCCTCCCCTGTGGCAGGGAGCTCAGGGACACCCACGAAGCACATGATGTAAGAAATCTTCAGGCATCTGGCCTGGGACCGGCTCACCTCTTGCCTTTCCCATTCTCTAATACCCTCTCTCTCTTCCAAGCCTTGTGGCCTTTGCACATGTTATTTCTTCTGCTGGAATGATCCTCCCTCCAGTTTTTGCCTGGGTAACTCATGCTGGTCCAACACACCTCCACTTAAGCATCACTTCCTCTGGTACCCGTCCCTGACACCTCACCTGATCATGTATCTTTCAGTCTTTCTGTCCCCTCCCCTCGCCCCTTCCAAGCACTGATCACCACCCATACCGATACACGGTGTGATCTTTTGATTGGGGTCTCTTTTCCCCAGTAGCCTGAATGCTCTGTGAGGGCAGACTGCCAGCTAGGCCCAATCATGCACTCAGGACCTGGCACAATCCCTGACACACAGAAGTGCTCAAGAGGTGTTGTGGAATCAGAGAATCAATGCGTGAATGGCCAGAAAAGCAAAACTCAGAACCACTTAAGCAGAGCACATCAAAGACGGGATGTCGCAGAGGAGACATGAGAAGCTATGTCCTATGTCACCCTCCCATCAGCCCTGGAGGTATATCTAAGGCAGAGGGGCACTCAGAGCTCAGAGAGGTACAGGAACCACTCCAGGGTCACAGAGCAGATAGGGATGGAGCAGGATGAACTTCCCAGACTCCTAACTCCTTTCACTCAACAGTGTGCTCCATCTGTGGACCTTCTCACATGGAATGTTATCAGGCTGGAATTCCTACCCAAGTTCTCACCAGGAAAAGAAGAGCGAGCTTCAGACAGACTGGCTGACTGCCCTTATAAAGAACACACATGAGGGATCGATATGGCTACCGAGGGGGATGTGGAGCTGGAGTTGGAGACTGAGACCAGCGGCCCGGAGTGGCCTCCCGAGAAGCCACGGAAGCATGACAGCGGTGCGGCGGACCTGGAGAGAGTCACCGACTACGCAGAGGAGAAGGAGATCCAGAGTTCCAATCTGGAGACGGCCATGTCCGTGATTGGAGACAGACGGTCCGGGGAGCAGAAAGCCGAACAGGAGCGGGAGAAGGAACTGGCCAAAGTCACCATTAAGGAGGAAGATCTGGAGCTGATAATGACAGAGATGGAGATCTCAAGAGCAGCAGCAGAACGGAGCTTGAGGGAACACATGGGCAACGTGGTAGAGGCTCTTATTGCCCTAACCAACTGATTTGTGCTTTCTCAGACCCACTCACTGGATTATTTTATTTCAATAAAGATGTAGCCTTTTTTCTTTTTGCAAAAAAAAAAGAACACACACGAGATGTTTACATCTAAGAGATATTTAAAAATAAGAAGAGTACTGAGGTCTCTCCTGTCTGTAAAGCTGAAAATTCAACAGAAGCAAAAAAAAAAAAAAAATTCAGAGAATATAAGGATTTGAGAAAAGTAACCACGGGGCTACCGAGAGCATAGAGAGACCAGGGGGGCTCCCTGAAACCTTCACGAGGCGGAGGAGGGTGAAGATGCATTCGAGGCAAATGGGAAGAACGTGTGCAAAGGCTGGAAGAGGGAATGCGCGGGAGCTGTGGCACAAGGAGTCTCATTTGGGAATGCCTCTTCATGGAATTTCATCTTAGGAAGAGAACTGCAGACCTTACTCCTCTGGCCATCATGGCGTTCCCGGTGTAGGACTAAGCCCTCCTCCAGATTCAACTGTGAAGCTGGACAAAATACAGGAAAACAGTTTTCAGACTTTTAACAGTAGGCAGCGCAGGGATGTGATTCACAAGGGAAGCCCTGATGTGAGATCACTCCCGTCTCTGCCTGGACACCTTCTGGACCACGGCACGGGGGTGGAGCCCAAAGAAGGCACTGCAGTCTGGCTGAATGGAGGAGACAATGGTCAGAGTTCAGGGCTTCTGAGGTGGCTGGAATTAGCAGGATATAATAATGAAAAGAAGGGAATTCTGAAGGAAAAAAAAAAAATAACTCCAGAAATGTGCAGAGGGACCCCCTTAAAGTATATGGCTGGATGCCAAACTGATTGTACAAAAGGAGCCTCTGAAAAGTCTGGCAGGTAACTGCTGCTGGGGGCTGTGAGCCAAGGAAGGATTCAGGAGTCTCACAAGATGAGATGTCTGAGTTCCCATCTGCCACAGAAGACGGACCTTGTTGAACACCTCGAGCGTTTAGTTTGGGACCCAGAAAGGCCAGGCCTTAGAAGGATTACTCTAACCCTAGAATAAGAACAACCGGAGACCCACCCTAACAGTTTAAAAACAAACCTTTGAGGTATGAAGCCGATCTGTATGTAAAGTAACTGCCTGCCATAACAAAATCCAACACTTTTCAAAGGAAGATAACAAACTCCAAATGCTCAACAAACATTGCAATGTGCAGCACAGAATAAAAAATTACTTGTGAGGCGAAGCAAGAAAATGTGACTAATAATCAGGAGAAAAATATCAATCAACAGTAACATACAGACATGACAGGGATGACGGAATCTGCTGACAAGGACCTTAAAACAGCTTTAATAGATATGCTCAAGGATTTAAAGGATAATATGAACACAATGAAAAAAGAAAGGCTATAAAAGGGAACCAAATGGAAATTAGAGATGAAAAGTAGGGTAGCTGAAAAAAAAATTCACTTGACAGATTTCTCTAATAAAACAGACTGCATACTAGAGAAGAAAAGAACACCAAACTTAAAGACAAGGTACTAGAAACTATCCAAATTGAAGCTCAAAGGGAAAACAGGACTGATAAACTAAATGGAGCTTCATCACCAAATGGTTTAACACATATGTAAAGTCTCAACAACAGAAGAAAGAGAGATTGGGTAATAAGAATATTTGCAGAAATACTGGCTGAAATTTTCCGAATCTGATGAAAAATATAAACCCACTGAACCAAGAAATTCAATGAACCTCGAATAGAATCAACACAAAGAAAACTATACACCAAAATCAAGTTGCTAAAAAAACAGTAACACAGAGATATATTTAAAATCACCCACACAAAAAAGACACATTAAATATAGAAAAACTATCAGAATAATCTGACTTTTCATCAGAAACAACATAAACCAGAATATAAAAGAATGACATTTTTAAAGTGCTGAAAGAAAAATTTCTCAACTTAGAATTTCATATCCAGAGAAAATATCCATCAAAAGAACAGGTGAAATAAAAACATCTTTAGTTAAGAGATTCTTTCACCAACAGACCTACAATATAAGTAAGTGTTAAAGGAACTTCTTCAAAGAATGAGGGAAAATGATAATAGATGGAATTCAGATTCATACAAAGGAAATAAAAGTACAGGAAGTGGTAAATATGTTAGAAAATAAAAAAGCATTTTCTCATTTCTTAGTTAACAAATAATTGACTGTTTAAAGCAAAAAGAGTAATTGTTGGGTTTATAACTTATGTACGCATGGACATATGATAAGAATAGCACAAAGGACAGGAAAGTAGTAAATGGAAGTGCACTGTTATAAGGTCCTTAGTGATGTTATGAATTAAATTTGTGGTAGATTGTAATACATAAAAGATGTACATTATAAACCACAAAGTAACTACTAAAGAAAAAGAGGTATAGCTAGAAAGCTAACAAAGGAAATTTTTTTTTTTAAGTTCTCAATATTAAAGAAGGCAAGAAAAGAAGAAAAAATGAACAAGATGAGATGGGACAAACAGAAAAAACAAAACAAAATATACAAAATACAAAAAATATGAAATAAAAAATTCAACCGTATCAATAAATAACATTAAATGTAAATGGGTGAAACACTTCATTTAAAAGGCAGGGATTACCAGACTAGAGAAAAGAGTGAGAACCAACTATATGTACACACTTCGAATAGAAAGACACAGAAAGATTAAAAGAAAAAGATCAGAAGAAATATACCATGCAAATACTAATCTTAAGAAAGCTGTAGTAGCTATATTGATATCAGGTAAAGTAGATTTCAGGACAACAGTTATTACCTGTTAAATAAAGAAATTAAGAAATAAAAAGATAAATAAAGGTACTGAACAATTTTAAAAGGGTCACCAAGACATAATGATCCTAAGTGTGTGCACCTAAAAGCAAAGTTTCGAAGTACATGAATCAAAAACTGACACAACTAAAGGGAGAAACAGCATATCCACAATTAGAGTTGTAGATTTTAATGGCTGCCTCTTAGTACTTGATAGAACAAGCACATTTTTTTTTTAGCCTAAAAAGGTATAGAGATTTGAACAACATTATTAACCAACTTCACCTAACTGACACTATACTCAGGGAATACTCCTCCCAACTCATTTCTAAGAGGCCAGTTTTACCCTGATACCCAACTTACATTACAAAAAAGAAAAGTACACTATTGGTTGGAATGCAAAATGGCATAACCACTTTGAAAAACAGTTTAGTTGTTTCTTAAAAGTTAAACGTACACCTATCATATGATCCAGCTATTCCACTCCCAGGTGTTTACTCAAGATTAATGAAACCAACTGCCCATACAAGTACACAAATGTTCAGAGCAACTTTATTTGTATTAGCTCCGAACTAGAAACAACCCAAATGTCTGTCCACAAGTAAATAAAGCAAACTGTGGTATGTGTATCTATGCAATGAAATACTCATCAATTAAAGGGAATGAACTACTGATACATGCAACCATGGATGAATCTTAAAACAATCATGGTGAGTAAAAGAAGCCAGACCCCCACAAACACACAAAAAGGATATATACTGTAAGATGCTATATATGCAATATTCTAGAAAATGTTAACTAATCTATAATAACAGAAAGTACATCAGTGTTTGCCTGGGGATGGGCAAGTGGTGAGTAAGGGATTATAAAAGAACACAAAAAAACTTCAGAGTGATGGATGGGTTTGCTATCTTAATTGCAGTGATGATTTCATGAGTGTATACATAGGTCAAAACTTATCAAACTGTACAATTTAAATATAGGCACTTTATTGTATGACAGTATGCCTCAATACTGTTTAAAAAAAACATCACCAGAGGGGCGCCTGGGTGGCTCAGTTGGTTAAGCGACTGCCTTCGGCTCAGGTCATGATCCTGGAGTCCCAGGATCGAGTCCCGCATCAGGCTCCCTGCTCGTCAGGGAGTCTGCTTCTCCCTCAGACCCTCCCCCCTCTCCTGCTCTCTCTCTCTCTCAAGGAAATAAATAAATAAAATCTTTAAAAAAAAAAAAATCACCAGAAATATTTATTTTCTTGATTATGACCATCATCAACAAACCACTGATATTCATGGGGCACGGCTAATTCTAGGACTGTAGTTCCCTAGCCTTAAGTCAGTTTTGGGAGTGATATTAAAAACTATGTAAAGGGGCACCTGGGTGGCTCAGTCGTTAAGCATCTGCCTTTGGCTCAGGTCACGATCCCAGGGTCCTGGGATTGAGCCCCGCATCAGGTTCCCTGCTCTGTGGAAAGCCTACTTCTCCCTCTCCTACTCCCCCTGCTTGTGTTCCCTCTCTTGCTGTCTCTCTCTCTGTCAAATAAATAAAATAAAATCTAAAAACCAGGTAAAATCCTGGGGAATTTTATATAGAAGTGATCAGAAAGTATGTTCTTGAAAGCAACTCTGTATACAAACTACCCTAGGTCTTAAAGTAATTTAGATACCTTTCCAAGAAAAAGAAGTTTCACAGAAGAAGTCACTCACTAGGCAAAGAGGAAATATCCTAACATTGTAAGTTTCTTCAGTTCATTTCATAGTTGGGACTCTCTGATAGTTTTGATGTGTTTTAATAAAGTATAGGCATGGTGATTTATTTAAGAACAATGACAATAAGGGTGCCTGAATGGCTCAGTCAGTTAAGTGTCTGCCTTTGGCTCAGGTCATAATCCCAGAGTCCTCCCTTGCTTGGCAGGGAGCCTGCTTCTCCCTCAGCCTTTGCCTGCTGCTCCCCCTGGTTGAGCTCTCTCTGTCAAATAAATAAAATCTTAAAAACAACAACAACAACAACAACAAATCAATCCATGTAATATACCATATTACCAGAATAAAAGAATCCTAGAATCATCTCAATAGATGGAGGAAAAAAGATAAAAATGATTTATGACAGAAAATTTCAGTAAACTAGAAATAAAAGGTAACCTCCTCAACTGATAAAGGGCATTTATAAAAACCTACTTCAGCAAATGTAATACTAACTGATGAAAATGATCACTGTTCATGGTGAAAAACTGAAATTTTTTTTGATTAGGAAAAAGGCAGAAATACTCAATTCTTCTATTCCACAATGTACTGGAGGGTCCTAGT